GCCCCCCAATTCCTTGCAGGCCCCCCCACAGAGCAGGCTACTGGCTCCCCAGAATGACCCCGGCATCGAGGTGGGAGTGGCGGGGTCCCGACATTTTCTTCTCTCCTCACCACGGGGGTGGAAGTGTCCTTCCAAAAAGGTGGGCGTTTGGGCTGACCCTAAGCGCTGTGCACAGGGGTCCCCCATGCCAGCCCAGGGTGCCCGACGTCTGGCCCACATGGCAAGATGGAGAGAAGGGCAGCTGTGCTCCCGAGCCGGGGCTTCCTCTCTGGCCAGCACACGTGCCCCCAGCAATGACAAAGAACAGATGAACTTGCAAGTTCCGATCCCCACTGTTCCAGGACACAGACAAAGCTTAAACGCACCCCTGCCTGTATATCCGTGGATTAAGTTGTTTTAGGCACAAAATGCCCTAAGGGAGACCCCCTGGCAGTCACTAGGCCTCAGGACAGGGACACTCCGGTGTCGGCCAAGGCAGGTCGCAGTGGGAGTGTGGCAGTGCATGTGTAGCCTGCCTGGAACCGGTGCCGAATCCTGGGGCTACCGCAGGCTAAGCCGTGCCGGACCGTGGTCCCCGCCCGTTCCTCTAGCTCACCCTGCCCGCCTGCCTGGCTCCCAGCCTCCTCACAGCTGTGGAGGTTGGATAGGGCTTGATTGTAGCAGCACCCCACCCCATGCTCAGCAGAGGGGGCAGCTCTGACATCTGCCATGCTGGGGGGGGTGACACGTAAGGGACCCATCAAATTGCCATGTAGAAGATACGGAGATACAGCCTAGAACGTTTATTGTTCCCTCCACGAGAGACAGAGAGGGGTTATGTCCCAGCCCACCCTGACTCGGCCGGCCCAGCATGGCAGGCAGGGGCCTGGCATTCCCTGGGAGGCCTGAGGACCTAAGCCGGGACCGCCCCGTGTGCTCAGCCTGGGTCCTGCTGGGCCACTGCCCGGCCCACAGGAGGGGAGGCAGGGGTGGAGCGCAGTGTGACCGCCGCAGTGCCGTGGAGGGTGGGTTTGGGGTGTCTACATGAAGGAGGCCGCGTCTCACGGCCGGCACCGCCTGTCCGCAGTACCTGCACACGGTCATCCCCTACGAGAAGAAGGCCACGCCACCCTCGGTGGAGGACCTGCAGATGCTCACCAACAGTGAGTGCCAGCTCCCCGCGGGCAGTGCCCGGCTCCCCCAGCTCGCATTCTCCGCGGTTGGCACCCTGCCCTCCGAGCAGGAGCTCAGCCCAGGGCCTGGCTGGACTTTGAAAGGGAAGAGAGGCTTCTGGAGGGGTGGGTTGGCAGGGACAGGGCCCGCTGTCCCACGGGAGGGGCCCACTCCTGCCCCAGGGTGCTCTTGGCAGGGTGAGAGGCAGCCCAGCTTCGGGGAAAGCAGGAGCCAGGAGCCTGTGCGTCAGGGCACATTCATGGGCAGGGGAAAGGAGCCCACCAGGCCGGCTGGCCCTCTGGGCAGGGAAGAGCCTAGCTGCATGTGGCCACAGGCTCTGGAGGGGGAGCGCCCATTTCCCTGGCAACTGTGTGCCCAGGGGCCCCTGACCAGGCTGCACAGCCTCTGCAGGCCACGGAGGGCACAGGGCTACGGCCGGGGAGGGCGGCTGCTGGCCCTGGTGCTAACGGGGCCCACGTCTTCCTCCTCCTCACTGTGGAGAGCGGCAGCAGGAACTGGCTGTGTGAGTAGCTACTGTGCCCTTGAGAAGCAGGGGCTGCAGTCTGGGGCGCATCGCTGGCCCTGCACTCCTTGCAGCAACCCGCACGGGGGCCTGCGTGCCACAGCAGCAGAGGGGCTGCCTTTGGGGGGGACAGCGGTCACTGTGGTTGGCATCCTCTCTGTGCTGTCTGAGCATACCTGCCTTCCAGGGTTTACCTCTCGACAGAGACCCTGCCTTGGGCTGAGCGTGGGGTCACAGAAGCCCCCGGAGCAGACCCTCACAGGGCACTGGGACCGCGTCCCCCTCCTGTTCCTCGAGCCTTGGCTGTGGGCAAGGCCAGCTCCTGCCGACCGGCTGGCTTGTGGCCAGGCAGTGGGGACGTGCTCGCGGCCATCTTCTGGGGTGCCGTGCAGCCTGCCTGTGCCGTTGCAGAGGGTCCCCCCAGGCGGCGACGCGTGTCTAAAAATACGGAAAACACAGCGGAAGAGACCAGGTCCCCCAGCAGTTAGGGAGAGATGGGTACATGTCAGCACCCCAGAGCTGAGGCGGGGAGCACCTGAGGCTCAGGCTCAGTCTTTACTTCTGGACCCGGCCACCGACCGGGCCCCGCTGGGCGCTGCTCCTCGGACTCCTGAGGTCCCTGCTCGGGCGTCATTACTCCGCTTTGAGGGCAGGTGAGGTCAGCGATGCAGCCAAGGACAAGGCGTGGCAGGGGAACCCCGCGGTGGGCGAGCTCCTCCCAGCTGCCTAGCAGGGCCGGACCCCAGAGAGGTGACGCAGACAGGGCCGTCCCTGTGGTCAGGTGCACGTGCCGCACCGCTAGCGCTCTCATGAGCGTTGGCGTGTGTCTGCCATGAGGCTGACACGTGCCCACACCGAGTACTGCAGCGACCTCGAAAAGTTCATGGAAGATGGAATTAAAGGATGAGTTGATTTTGGTGCAAAAACATTAAAATCCATGCATAGTTCTTTTTAATATACATTTTCCATGAACTTCTAAAAAATCCTAATTGGGTTTCAAGCTGAGAAATTATTTGTGGTGAGTCATTTCACAAGCGTGAGGGAAAACAATGCCCTACGTGGGGCCTCGCGCGCCGATCCCCGGCCTTGCCCACCAGCCAGCCGGCTTCCCGGGCACTGCACCCGAGTTCAGGCTGACCCGGAGAAAGGAGCCGCGAGCTTCCACTGGCACCCGGCACCGTGAGTCAGCGCTACCGCTGCGCCTCTGAGCCGGCCGCCGCTGCCCCCTGCCGGCAGAGAC